TTCACCTGTTTTCAGCAGAAATTTAAGTTTCTTCACCGCCATACAACTTTTTGCAAGTTTTCAACTTTTTCAGCTTTTTCAGCTTTTTCAGCAGACAGCTTCAGCTTTAAAGCATCCACACTGCATTTTTGCAGGAAATGCCAATTTTTCTAGTTAGAGTTAAGTTGGTCATTCTAAATTACCCATGAATGTAAGTGCAAATGGTTGTTTGTCTCTATGAAATCATCAACCCCCATATTGGTTCATTAGGGAAGACCAGCAGTAATTGCCTTGATTAACAAAGTAGTTGTTCGAACAACAAGATTTCATTGTGTTTTCCTAAAGTTGTTAACTTGTGTAGAATGAATTAAAACAAATTTCACTCTGCATATTTAAATAAATCACTTCAAGTCAATGTATGTAGACTACGTTGATCCAACGTAATCTGATTACATCAAACCACCAAATGCCAAATGTGTTGGTTTGACATGGTCAGAAATCGGTTACTGTACTTGGTTAAATCACGTGGAAAAAGGTGCCATGATTAAATTGTGTTCATCCAACAACGGATGTAAATCGAAATGTGGTTTTCATTCAACTTTACCATCATTACAATCATTAGTTCTCAAATCAAATTAGTAGTTTGAACTCAGCTGATCTCATGTTAAGTGGTCATAACTGGCTGTTTAAGATTCAGTAAGGAAGGAGCCGTTTATTTAACATTTTGCCAAGAAACAAGTTTGAAGTGGTTTGAGTTCAAACATGGGCTCATTTATGCGTCCGCTGTCTCCCCAAAAGCTGTCAGAAAGAAGCTTTATGCCAAGAGTAAAGGTGAGTGTGGTGTCTTTTTGGGAAAACGTATTACAACACACAAAGTGAGTTAAATAGTGGCTGTGCTTGTGATGCTAACACACTTTTATAACTGTTGGAAGACGTTAACTTAGAGATCAAAACTGTGTTTTTAAGGTCACACATGAGGGATTTGTTGCTTTTACAGCAGTAACTCGGTAAACTTTATAAAAGATGAGGTCGGTGGTCTTTAGCTGAGACTTCAGCCTCCTCTGATAGGACTGAGGCACAGAAGCTGCTGCTTTTTCTTTTCTTTTTCTCATTCAGAGTTTTAAAGAGAATACTGAGAAGTAAAAGCTGCACAACTGATCTACAGAAACACTTGAATCTCCAGTCAGTCATATTATGGTACACAGCACAGATGCTGCTTCTAGGGTTAGGGCGAGGCAACGGGAATCACATTTTTATGAGTCGTTTGTATTTATGTTGTTTCTGATAGTATCACTTCTATATATTGCATAAAAGAAAGCAACACCTTATCTTGTAGTGAAGAACCATCATTAAACACTGGAATTCAAAGTTAAATCGAATAAATATTCTATAAATATTATTTTAATAATTACTGTCATGTAGATGAGAAAAAGAGACAGAGCTCCATTCATATCAGCACAGAGAGAGAGAGGTGCACTGTGCTGCATTAAAATTCAAACTGAGGGCAGATTTTTCAGCTCTGACACGGTTTGCTCTTCAGTTGAGTTGAGTTTTCTATTTTTAAGAGAAAACGTTATTTGCTGCACAAAGTGACTTCGTCCTTATTCATCCATCCACAGCTCTGACGTATAGAATATATTTATACTGCCAAAATAAAAGCTAGAAAAATACATCCAGTAATTACAAACAATATGATTCTTAACAAGTTTTTTAACATGTTTTTTCCTTTATGTTACCTTTTTTGTTATTTCCTCAGAAATAAACCTGAACCTGTATCTGTGAGTGTTGTGACTGTCCTGCTAATCGGACCTTTTGTGTGTAGATCTTTCCTAAATCCTGGTTACGGACTACGAGAGGAGCTGGAGTTGTACAGGAAGTATGGAGCACCTCTTACCGACCCCTGTTCCCCCACGGACCTTGGAGACCCGGACCCCTTTCCCCTGCACATTGCATATATCCACTTGGTGTTTGTTCACTGTAAATAAACGCACTGTCTTTCGCCTAAGCAAAGTCCCTTTAACAAACCTTATGAACAGTGTTCTTCATTTTCTTTCAATTTCACAATTATGCACCACTTTGTGTTGCATTGTGTTTGTATCACATAAAATCCTGTTAAAATACATATAATTTATAGTCTGATAATTATGCTAATGTTGCTGTCACTACAATTATTACAGAGATTCAAAGAGTGAAGAACTCACATATGGCACGCACAGTCCTCAGCTGGTACAGGGCTGCACTCAAAGGACTTATGATGCTTGAAGACAGAATAATATTAATACACAGAATAAAAATAAATATCAAACATAAAGAAAGAAAATCTTGGCTGCTTGTAAGTTATTTCATTCATACTGTTTGTGCATTCTTCTTCATAGCATGCAGGTAAACGCACACAGGACTGATTATTCAGTGACTTTGTCCTGAAACTGTGGAACCCGGTTTTATTCTAATCCAGTATTAATGTTCTCAAGGATATAATTTCTGGTTTTGTTGTTTTTCAATAACACATTTCGGTGATACACTGAATGTTCTGTTAGAAATAAAAAGATTCTTTTAGTTTTGATATAGTGTTTTTAACACAGTCATTACTCAAAATTACAAAAAATACTAATTAGTAAAAAAAAAAGAAGTATAATTAAGTGTTAAATAACCACAATGATTTTTTTAATATGAATGAAACTCCAGAAAATAAAAACTCAAAATAAATCAGCAAGTTATAAAAACTGAAACGGAAAATCGAACTGATTTGTTAACATGTGTGTGACTTTAATGATCCTTTGATCCTGTTTTCATGAATTGAATGAATGAATCGTGAAACGGTGTTTTATTCCACGCTGCAGGAGGCGAACATGACTGGATGTCCTGTCCGAGAAACTAAACAGTTCTTATGGCCGCCAACCGGATCCTTCCGGGTCACTTTCCTCAGTGAGGACCCTTCAGACCGGGAAAGGTCTGAAACACTAACAGACTTAAACATTTAAGGGGATCTGTAGTGATACACTGTTACAAAAGTCCTCTCATTGTCGCACACTGGGGAATGCGAACATTTCTGCAGCGTGAGAAGAGAAACCACAGCTCGCACCTGATTATCTGCAGCGCATCTTGACCTGAGTTCATTTTTGAGCCAGCAAAGGACAAACATGTCCGCTACACTGATGCAAAATGGCTCACTGCTGCTCCTGCTTGGAATTCTCTGCACGTCCCTGATGGTGTCAAACTCACGCAAACGGACACACAGAAATAGCGGAGGGGGAGGGGGATGCTGAGCCGCTCCAGTGAACCCAGTATGGATGCTGACGTAGGAAACTGGGATGGGCGGAGCTTGGGGTTCGTATTGAATCTCCGGGGATCACCGACACCGGCTGGTCTGTGTCGTTCATTCATCGGTGGAATTATTCTGCTCCGAAATTAGCCGTTCCACCATCAGCCATCCTGACTCCTCCGAACACCGACTCTAAGGACGCTACTCCTGGCCATCCTCTGTGGTAAGACCCGAACAGCGTAGGGCTGGAGGCTCGGCAGCAGATGCTGGCTCAGCGCTGTCCTATATGTTGTCTAAAGGAAAATTACCAGCTTATACTACCATCCTATACGGGCTGCGGGGCGCGCGGTGCTCAGCAGGCCGGCTCGCTTCGTGATGACGTTTTGATGGATGCGAGTTATTTTAATGGGCAGTATTGCAGTATTCTATTTTTGGTAGTATTGTTGCAAAACAGACAACTGCATCGTGTTCTGCGTTATTATTCTTATTCTTATTGTTATTGTTGTCCCTCCACGCATTTGTCCTCCCGTTCATCGGTAATACCATTGTTATTACTGTGATTACGTTTTTCTCTTTTGGAATTTCGTAATAATTTGTCCGCATGATTTAAGGCCAGGGTTTACTTATTAATCCACAGCGTCACATAAGCAGAAAAATGTATTATGCTGTAACGCGCTGAACATTTCAAAATAAAAGCCCTTATAGTTAATTTTAGAAAATTCATCTGATTTTGAGAAATTGCCACATTTCAAACATAAAACGAGCTTTAGGACTTCGTTAGTGTCAACCTGCTATCTCTACTCACATCTTTTAGACGACCTATTCAATGTTTTCACAGCGAGGAACAGAAGTTCTGACAGTAACACAATCTGCGTCCTTAAAAATGACAGTGAGTGACTTCATGTAGACCTTTTTGGGCGTTTCTTGCTAATATTCTTGAACATTTTTTGTTTTATTACCTACCAGCTCATTAAGGTCTAGTTTAATTCTTCTGTGGTTTAATAGATGATTGATTCAAACTGAATCAATTCAACATTCATAAAAGGTGAAAGCCTTTCCACTCTTCATCACTCTGGAAAGGATGAAGAGTGGAAGGTGGTTGATCCAGATCGTGATGCCCAGGAGAGTGGGCATTGGACCTTTTGACCACATTGTTAAACATAGTCTTAGAGAGGGTCAGGATGCCTGAGGAGTGGAGAATATCTTTCCTGGTACCAATTTTCAAAAACAAGGATGATGTACCGTGGGATAAAGCTTATGACTCATCGCATCGAGGAAAAAGTTGTTGAGGCTATGCTAAGAAGAGAGGTGATGAGCAGTAATTAGAAGTGCAGCTTTATGCCCAGACAGAGCCCCACAAATGTGATAATTGCTTTGAGTGTTGAAGTGTAGAGATGGTCCGAAGGAGTTGCACGGTGTCTTTGTAGCTGTGAGAAATCACTCCAAGACAGGCATGTGGGAACGAGAAGTGTCAGAGACATATGTCTGGCTGGTGCAGGACACGTATATGAGGACAAGGAGAAAGCGATGAGGTGTATGTAGAAGGGACAGTTGGGTTCAAGGCGGAGGTGGGATTACATCAAGGATCTGCTCTGAGCCCCTTCTGGTTCACAGTGGTGATACAGAAGAGGCCAGGCTGGACTCTCTGTGGACTAGGATGGTTTTTAGAGATGGTGGGACTAACATAAACCAGAGGCTGAACTGGAGCTGTCAGGGGTATGACCAGAATGACAGGATTAGAAATGAGTATATCAGAAGGACAGCTCAGGTCAAGCATTTTGGGGAGGCAAGGCTGAGGTGGTTTGGACATGTGCAGAGACGTAGTGGACATGTAAGGATGCTGAAGATGGAGGCAGAAGAAAGAGAAGTTTATGATTCATAGATGCAGTGAAAGAGAATATGCAGAGGGCTGGTGTGACAGAAGAGGGTGGTAGGAATAGGATGAGATGGAGATGCAGATGATCTGCTCTGGGAACTCCTAAAGAGAGAAGCCAGAAGGAAGGGAAGTTTGAATAATTATAACAGAAGGACCTTAGTAAACAGCAGGATGAGGGTTCGGTCTGCATTTTCAACCCAGCTCATCTACCGTCTCAGAGAGGGATCCACGCTTAGTTTTTGGGATTGGGCTTTTCTCTTACCCAAATTAAGGCTTCCACTGAAAAGGTGTGGCCTTTCATTACTGAGTAATATATAGCAGCACAGTTACTTCATGACTCAGTTACGTAGTATTGATTTGTCACCAGGTTTTGGTCATCTTTCAAAAGGTTTGTTTTCTTGCTTTTTCTATTCTTTCAGGAGTAAAGGAAGAGTGTTGATGTGATAACGGTGAACCAAACCGCCGAAGTGTACATTTAACAAACATTCTTTTTTCCTCATTAAATATTTAAAAGCATTTTGCATACTGAGTCAAATAACCCTTAAAAAATAAATGAAATAAAACTGACCGAGTGTGCACAGCTCCACTGTTCCTCAAAATCAGCATTATGGCAGGTTGAAATTCATCATTAAAGGTCACAGCGTTTTTTTCTGTTCCTTTTTAATCTAGCACATTGTTAAGAATGATATGTTTACCATTCATTGACTGTCTTGGTATTCAAACAATTTTCTAATGCTTAACTATAAATGAGTTGAAATTCTTGCGTAAACATGAAAAACATTCAGAGACTAGTACAAACAGCCATCACTTCACCCAGCATTCTCAGCCTGTTATAGGCCAATCTCCAACCTTCCTTTTATCAAACACATCTCCAAAGAATTGTTAAACAGCTAACAGATCGTCTGCAGAGGAAGAGTTTCATCAGGATTCAGCTTTAGTGAAGGTTACTAATGATCTCGGCCTCTGACAGTGGACTCAGCTCTGCGCTTGTCCTGCTAGACTTCAGTGCATCGTTCGATACTGTCGACCAAAGTATGTTAGTATATAAAGTAGTGCATGCCATAGGAAGTAAAGGTGCAGTGGTTTGAATCATATGCAATAGACTCCTTTTAATTTTTCCAAGTAAAGTCACACACCGAGTTAAATTCCACAGGATCCCGTGATGGGACCAGTTCTGATTACATTATGCGTAAGAACTCGATGACCTCTAATTTCCTGCTTCTACATTTAGATAAACTGAGGTCATTGTGTCTGACCAGATACTTATTGTGCCTGGAATTAACTTCACTGCCAATAACACTGAGGAATCCTGGAGTCGTGTTCGGATCACCCTAGTGGAGCTAGGTTGCTCTAAGACTTACTTGTGGCCCCTTACTTGTGAGTTTTCAGCTTTCATGACACTTTCTGTGAAATAAGCTTGGAGTTAAGAGATAAACACGTTCTCGAGTTTCACAATTAGGCTTAAAATGTTCCTTTTCGAGTTGGGGCTGGATCAGATGATCGAGAATCCTCCCGTTGTTACGCTGCAATGGGCCTCGGCTGCTGGCTTCCCAGGTGTTTGTTGCCCATACATTTTTGACTCTCTGTGAGCTTATGAACCACTCTGCATTTAATCATTAGTGTTTAATCATCTTTGGCTCTCTTCTTCAGTTTGTCCACCAAAGATTTCTTCCAGTTAAAAAGGGAGTTTTTCCTTCCCACTGTTGCCAAGTCCTGTATTGTTGGTTTTCTCTGCATTATTGTAGGGTCGTCACATTACAATAGAAAGTGTCTTGAGGTATATAAGCTATATAAAGATAATTGAATTAAATTGAACTGAATACATTCCAGGGCTCCAAAATACAAGCTAGCTGAAAGGTTTATGTAATTATTCTGGACAGTAAAAATCACACGATGGTCATTAAAACGGGTTCAGACTTGATGATGATTCATCTCCCATATCATGACCGCATAAGATGGCTGAACAAGTATTGGTATCATCATCAGTATATTGATCCTGAATTTACATGGTATTACATTAATACTAAAACGTCCATGATCACTAATGCTAATGCTCCCCACTTCAATCACAGATGATAATAATAAAACGGTAATAACTATTCAAAAACATAAAAAAAGGGTAAAATCCGAAACTGCTGCACATGAGATTAATGCTGCAGAAAATCGTTTACTAGCACGATTTGTGAAATAAATATTTCAGTTAAATTAATTATTTTAACGCTGCCTGCGCTATCAGTGTTATTCCTAATGAGGGAGGCTCTACTTTAACTTTAAAATGCATGCTTTTAAAAATTAACGGTGTGTGTTCTGTGCTCCAGAGGCTGCACAAGCGCCAAAGAGACTGAAGGTTAGAAACATCTATAAAAACACTTTTACATCACCAAATACAAACACACCCTGTGACGAATCAACAGAGTGTGCATGTCATGCAGTGGTTTTAGTAAAATATGGCTCAACACTCGTACATATAAAACACCCATCAGCGATGACATGTTCCACTCAACACATGCAGAATAAAAGGATCAGTGACAACACGGCGCCTCCAGCTGATTTGAATAGAGAGAGAGCTTCTGATATGAGCTGATCTCTTTTGACAGTTTGGTATTTGGAGTTGAAAGAGAGGAGGCATTATTGTATTAATCATGCAAGTGAGAGAAAACACAACACGGACATCCTTCTCTGTCCACTTTTGTCAACAATCTTTTTAACACTGTTTCTCTGACAAAGGCAGTGGACGTCAACACAGGGCGGTTATGTGGACAGAGATCCGCTCGTAGTCTGCTACCCTGGGTTCAGATGGTTGAGCGTGAGCCTAACAGGTGATTAAGTCAGTGTGCACAGCTCGTTACAGTGATAGGCTTTATGCTTCATCACCAATGATTCCAATCTAGTGTCTGATTGTGTGCTTGTTGTATGTTTCATAACTAATCATGTGACTATGTACATGGCTCTTGCGTAATTGGGCTAAGTGGATTTGTGCTTGTTTTAAAGGACTTTGAGACCTCTATAATATTAGCCGACAGAGACCTCATGCATAACAGTGTTTACACATTATTGATGTTCGAAGTCTTTATGTCTATACTGAGCTGAGCAGCTCACAAAGATGCAACTAAAAAGTGCAGGTGGAGGCTGCACTATACAGTGCTGTGAAAAAGCATTTCCCCCCTCACTTGCATTTTTCAGATCATCAAATAATTTGTAATTTTAAACAAAGATAACCAGAGCAAATACAAAATGCAGTTTATTAATGGAAAAAGCTAAAAGCTGAACTGTGAGAAGTCATAAAGTAAACCTATAAACTGGTTGCATTGCTCTTGGCTGTCAAGCAGTTGCTATGAATTTTGTCC